CTAACTACAGAGGGTCTCACCGAGCCGCTTACGGGGTTGTGCGGGGTGCCCGGAAAGAGGGAGGAGGCCCTGGGTGTGCGGTGCAGGCCCAGAGTCCCAAACAGTTTTCTCTGTGGGCTGGACCATGACGAGGCCCCAGGTGACGTGACCTCAACAATCTCACACTGTGGATTTGGATTTCTCTCTCCTTGTTCTTGGCTGTGGGCATAAACACACAGGAAATTGTGGGAGCCTGCAATCCCACGCCAGTGTAACAGGGAAGGAATGCTGTTTATTGCAAAAGCCAGAAGGAGACTAAAAGGCAAACTTACTTCACACAACAGACGAAACCCACCACCAGCAGAGAAAAGCAGGGTTCTGGGAGAAGCAGAACTTTAAGGGGTTTGAGTCTGAGAAGAAACGTGGGGACGAGTAAGTGGGAAAATGTACAGGATGAGATCTGGGGAGGAGGGGAAAGAGAAGACGTAGGTGTTGATCTTGAGAGAGGAACTGAGAAGACAGAGAAATCCATAATATGACTAATATTTTCTAAGGAACAGTTTGGCAGCTGTCTACACAAGGGATATTTAAGAAAGAGTGGTAACCGGTGCTAATTAGGAGATTATTTCAACTTAATAAGAAAGTTGACAGTGGCCAGAACAAGGGAGAGCACTGGTCAGATCCCACAAAGAATCGGAGGTTAGACAAAAGGGCTTTCTAAATGAACTGCATTTCTGGAGAGAGGCACCTGAAGAGGGGCCTCTCCATCCAGCACAGGCAGTAATGTGTGTGTGCGTGTATGTGTGTGTCTGTACATGCACACACACACAAATGCACGGTACGTACACCTGTATAATGTGCACGTAGTCTGTATAGGATACACTGTACAGTGTGCGTGTGTTTATACTATAAAAGAGTATAGAACTGTAGAACATAGTAAATGCACCACTAGACAGTTTGATGAATGGAGGACTACATTTAAAAAAAAATCAATAAAGCTACTAGAAAAAAAAGAAAGGAAAAAGAAGGAAAGAAAAAAGAAGGAAAAAAATTAAGCCACTAAATACATAGAAATGTTTCCATGAGAATTTTTAGGTCTAAGGGGCACCGTACCCAGATTTATACATAGAAATAGTAGACCTTTCCAATCCATTTACTGTCCAGAAGGACTGTTTCTCACGTCGGAAGGAAGCGCTGTTTCTAGAACTCTCTGAGACCACCGTTCCCCGAGGACCTGCTCGCCGGGTCCTGTTTCTGCGCTGTGCGTGGCCAGAGGTGACTCCAGGCCGTCACTGCGTCAAACTCTGCAGACCCAGCCTGGCCTCTGCTACACGCAGACAAGCTCAGCACAGCTTCCCAGGCGGACCCAGGCCCTCCAGCCTCGCCACGAGCAAAGGCAGACACCAGGGCCTGGCCTGGCCCTGGCTGCCGTCGAGCCGCGCGTCCCCAGAGCCCTGGCCGGGAGCCTCCCCGCGGCCCTTCCAGCAGCCTCACCTCGGAGCCGAGCCGGACACCCCGAGGAGCTCATGCTGGCTCAGGGATGAGCATCTTAGAAGACTCTCCTGTTGCTTCGCCCAGTTGACGGCAAACAGACTAGCTTAGAAACATTGGAAACGAGGAAAACGGATATTGGAATGACCCAGCCCTGCCCCCAGGGGAGTATGAGGTGGCCTTTGGCAGTAACTGTGGCCACTGTGTGAAGCCAAGAAAAAAGGGGCGTGTCGTGTTTTTACGAGGGAAGCAACAGTTTCCAACAGCTGAACGGTGGGGATCTTCCTGAGAAACAAGGTCACCTCTGCCTAAGGGTCCCAGATTCGTACATACACACATTCGTCAGCATGAGGCCTGCTTTCTAGGGGAAGGTACGGCTCAGTGGCAGAGCGTGTGCTTAGCACGCCCAAGGTCCTGGGTTCCATCCCCAGTCCCTCCATAAAAATGCAAAACAAAAAAAATACTGAGATGTGTTTTCGTGTCAAATTTCAATTCTGACACCAAAATACTGCACATAAAATAGATAAAAACCTTAAGAAAACTCAAAGGTAAAGCCTTCCTGCATCATCTTTCAAAGGACACAGTGACACAGCTGTGGGTGTGAAGACTTTCCATGTGAAGTCTCCAAATCAAACAGCCCTCAGGCTGCGCGGGGCCGTGACGTGGCGCGGGCTGGTGGGAGGCCGCGTCAGGAGGAGGATGGGGGGGGCACTTACTGTTGTGGGCGGCGCGTGTGGACGTGAACTGCAGGGAGACCTTGGCGCTCTTGAGGCGCGTCTGGCCCCAGTACGACACGGCCTGCAGCTCCACCGTGTAGTCGCAGTCGGGCTGCAGCCGCTCCAGGGTCACTGCGCGCTGGGCCTGCAGGTGGGAGAGGGTGCTCAGACTCCATCCCACGCCTTCCTGCCGCCCAGCTTCACTGCATCGCCTCCCGTGGCCCCACCAGCCACACCAGCTCCCAGCCCGTGCGCCCTGCACGCTCTCCCATCACCAACTTTCCTAAGTCCTCAGCAGCTGAAAACCCAGTCTCCCCAGGGAGCCAAGTAAACATCACAGAAAGGCCCAGACACATTTTTTGGAAATCGTGTTCCCACTTCCATGACTGGATACTCTGCAGTAGCAGGGGAACGAGTGATTCTGCCACCCCAGCCTTCTCCTAGATGCCACCTCATGAGAAAAGAGGGCTGTTTCAAACAAACTAGTGGATACTTGTGTTAGCACAGACCTGGAAAAGTTACTAATTGGCATTAATTATATTTCTTGATATTTATTCTAAATCTTCTATGGGTAAATTTCCCCCAAAAGTTGTGAGAAAAATCGACTAGGCAAAACGCCTAAAGCTTTTTTTTTTTTATGACTTGCAGGTATAATAACATAGTAAGTCCCTTATGAGAACTTAGAATTAAGAGAAATACTGTGTTTCTCTTAGAATTCAAAACGTTTGTCACAACATAGTGTGTGTGGTATCACAATGCCCCTAGGCTGAAAGGCGGCTTGTGTATAAATGGTGCAGGGGGTGACATTAACATTTATGAAGGGAAGAATGTGTCCAGACATCAGCCCATGCTTCCCAGCAGAGAACAGTCCAGTCTCAGGCGTGCAGTGTGCTGTATGAAGGGCATCGTTATCTGAAATTGCCGAGCACTGAATCATGTAAGTGAATCCCTTGTTGAAATTCCAGTGGCCCAGCCACATGCTCGTGATAATTCTGGGTCATGTGGGATCACTTTTCAGGGAGAGCACAGGGTTTTCATGGGCATTTCAGAACTAGGTTCAGTCTGGGTTCAATCCCCAGCACTGCCATTAAAAGTAAGTAAATATATAAACCTAATAACCGCCCCCCACCAAGACAGCTAACATGTCCATCACAGGACATTCTGAACGATGTATGGCTGGACACTGTTTTGTCCCTTTGATTCTGGACTCATGCCGGCCATTTGGATCTGAGCAGGTCAGCGGACTAAATTCAGCTGTTCTCACCTGAAATGTAGAAGGCTACGTGCTTGGCATGGTCCTGTTTTCTGAGCTTCCGCCGTTTAACGGGAGGGGATGGGAACCTCTCCTGTATCCACCCCTCTTCTCGGTTCATTGAGGCCACTTTCACACCGGGTGCCGTGAGTTCAAATGCCCCCCCCGCCCCCCGTCCTCCGAGTTCGCACTCACCCCGTCTGTAGTCTTCCTCCTCTTCTTTTTCGTGGGCACAAGTGACTTGCTGCTGACCATCCAGCTCCAGAACACCTTGTAGTGGTGCACCGGGATGTCTGGCTCCTCGGGCAGGTCCCAGACGACTGTCACCGTCACGCTCCCGTCGCTGGTTATGCTGGAGTTTGCAAGCCGGAGGTTGGCCGGAGCCGGTGGTGCGGACGGGTCTGAAATCCCAGGAGAAAGACGGGCCACATGACTCAAGTACCAAGGATGACCACAAAGCCACCGTCTCTGCACGTGTAATGACAACACAGTCAACCCAGGAAGACTGCCTTTAGCAGAACAGCTGAAAACACACACTGAGTCCCCTTTTTAAACCTCAAACTGAAATACAGTGTACAAGAGAAATGTGTTGGGGCCACATCTGTCATTCACGCATTTGCACAGCACTGCAACCCAGCCAATGTTCACTGTACCAAAACTGATCGATTTCTGTAAAACACGACCAAGTTCCATTTAAGTTGGTTGACATTAAATAAGTAAGCGAGGTCAAAACGCCTTTGAAAATTCTGAAAATCAAGACAGAAAGCTCGGGCCAGCTCACACGCCACTGTTTTCATATGAGAGGCCTGTAGCTTTCGATTCTTGCATCAAAACACAGGAATGGCAGCCAACACAAACCACCTTTTGAATCCACATTACAAATTGGATGACAGTTGGACATGTTTGTAATCCCACCATTTCTAGGTTGCCACATAAACCAAGACCTTCTCCACTGTCGAGAGAGATGAGGTTCTGGAGTGATGACTCCACAAATCTCCATTTAAGACGGATATAAATGATGACTAAGTGTGTGTGAAGCTGAGGGTCTTTCCTTCATTTTGTTGGCCACAAATTGAGCAAGTGTGGATGCCGCTCACCACAAATGATTTACAGATGGCTTGTTTCAAGATGCCTTCCCAGGAAAATGCTGTCAGTAATTCTAATTGTCATACCATCTGCATCGTAGGTACAAAGTTACATCTAACTTGATATAAATGAAGAAGACTGAAAGAAGTACCCATGTTTTTAAGTCTTGGGATCATTTCTGTTTCTGGAATGATGGAAACATGAATTATTTTTAAAATCTGTTGCATGTCTGTATGATAAATAAGTTCTGGAGGTTTGGTGGTTTGCTCAATTAAAAAAAAAACATTGCAATTATTTTTCTAGACCAATGGCTAATGCAAAGTGTGTTCCATGATATTTTTGACCAAGTGGTTCTCAGTCAACATCAGGAACCCTCTGGGAGGGCCCAAGGCTGACACTGAGATATGCTGAGTCACTGAGTCTGGGTGGGGCTCACACCGATGTTCATGTTAAATATATGTAACCTATATTAAGTGTTCATGTAACTATACACATACACGTTTCCTATAAAACATGTTTTTATGTAAAGCACACACACAGTCGTGAAGTTGATGCTCCACAGGCTGGAAGTTGAGAACCGTGGCAGCCGCCCAAGAGCGGTAAGCCTCACTTGGTTCCGTGTGAGGGCAAACTGCTTGCTCCTGGCAAGCCCTACCCCAACCACCTACACGATCACCATTCTCGCCTTCAGTCACCCACCTACACGGTCACTGCTCTTGCCTTCAGTCACATTCCCCACGTGACTCCACGCCCTACCAGATCTGCCTTTGGTCCCTTCTCCACCACCCTCCCCCCGGCCCAGATCCTCCCCATCCCATCATCTCTATAGACGGGAGGGAGTCCAGCCTCGGCGCAGGGGGCCTCCTTCCATCTACACCCACTCTCTAGGGGACTCAGCCAGTCACAACTTTTTAAAAAAAAAAGTCTTTGTGCTGATGAGTCTCAAAGGACGTCTTCCACGTAAAATTTGCCCCTGAACTTGGGTTCAGGTAGAGAAGGGCCTTTCCACCAGCGCCACTTGGAGGTCTCGGAGGCAACCTGAAAGTAACGTGTACAACACCAGAGTCATGCCCCTCCCAGCCCCGCACCCCACCAGACACCCCTCTCAGGAAATACAGACACCTGCTTCCAGCTGCTCCCACCCCAGACCTTGAGGTGGTAGACTTCCTTGGTTCTCATTCTTCAAGCAAATCCTGTTGGCAGTACCTGTAAAATCTATCTGGAACATCACTGTCTTCACCAGAACAACGTTCCAGGCCGAGCTGCTGTCCTCTCCCTGATCGCTGCAGAGTCCTCCCAGCCTGTCTCAGCACAGCCGTGGTGATTCTTCACCACACAAGCACATCCTGGGGCCCCGCAGCTTGGAAGCTCTCGCATGTGGCCTCCCAGACCTCCTTCCCCGCCCTCACTGATCCCGCTGCTCTAGCCACACCGGTTCCCATGTTACTTATTGGAGATGAAAACCAGGATGCTACTTGAGGATTTTCCACTGCCTTTGCCTAAATGTCTTCCCCCAGAGACTCCCGTGCTGGCTCTTTACCTACTGCTGGTCGACCAGACTTACTCAGAACGGCTCCATGTGATTCCCCGCCTCACCAGTGAAATCTCACTGTGGTTTTCCCCTGCTCTGCTCTTTTCCAAGGCCCTTACAACCAAATGACTTACTGTATGTTTTATTTGCTGTCTGCCTCCACTCACGACAATAAGGGCTTCCCAGAGGGAGGCGTTTTTATCTGTCTCGTTCACTTCTGTATTCCCAGCATTGAGACAAGTGCCCAGGACACAGCAGGTGCCCAGCTGCATTTGCTGAATGAACAACAGAGTTTGCCCGAATGTTGACTTCGTTTTGTAAGGTGATACTTCAGTTTCAGGCTTAAGCCCTGTCACTGGGAATGGATAAACCGTTCAAGATCCTAATGTGAAGTACAATCAAAGGAGTGCTATTCCCCGTTCGAAATAAGAGACTCAAAGCGTCCATCATGTGACTCAGTCCCGAACCGACAACAGGTTGCTGCCGCCCTTTCTGAGAGGGAAGCCGGCTGGCACGCTCAGCACCACCTCAAAGCAAGAGAAAAATGAATTGCGTGAAGATCATCGCAGCCATTGGCATCTTCAGTGACACCCCTGGACGTGTCTGCTGAAGATTAGCTACGTGAATCTACTAGATACTCTAGGTTCATGGGAAAAGCTCAAAATCATCTTTTCTAAAGAATTTCCAAGTCTGAGAAAGCAGCTTCTATTACGTGTTTCATCATTTCCTTGATCCACCTCATTCATCGCATCGTTACACACCGCCCAGAAAAGACTTCTCAAACTTAGATGTGCTGATGACAATCCAGAATAACACCATCCGGTTCACAGAACATCATAAAACACGAAACGACGTAATTCATGAAAACATTAGGAAACTGTTTTCCAAAACTGAATTAGTATTTGCTAAACGCTTACTTGAAAGGAAAGCCCGTCTGACCGTTCACCATACCAAGGTGGCATACTCCTGTTACCGAGGAGACAACCCCAATCTCTTCCTCCCAAAAATAACCACCTGTAAATTACAAAGTCAAAAGGGAAGAGCAGAGAGCATGTCTTTATTATCGCCCCAATTACCCTCTGTAAGCCAGCTCGTCATTTGTCCCCTAGTCACGGCCAACTTCGGAGGAGAGAGCCAGTCTCACCAGAAGGGTGTCATTCAGTCCTAGTGAACGCCCAAGCTGTAGTCATTCACTGCCTTGTGAAATGGGTCCCTACCTTACGGAATAAAGTAGGCTCACTTTCTTGAATTATGCAAAATCTTTTCTTTCAGTTTACATACAGTTTTAATTGTATTAAAATTTAGAAATGGGGTTTGAAGTTTGCATGTGGAAAAAATTACATGTATATCCGGATTCCACATTTTGATAAAGCCTTACAGGACTCTGTAATTTATTTGGCCTCCTTTCTAACTGCTGAGGATGGCAAGGGTTGGACAGGTGCAGTGACCTGCCCGAGGTCATTCACGTAACTGGGGGCAGAGCCGGGAGGACAAGGACTGGAGGCTCTCACGGTGCACCCCAGCCACACCTCTCCATGCATCACATGTCATCATTGTAACGATGGGCCACTGTCCCTCCCAAAGTAAACCGGTAAGGAAGGCCCTTGGCTGGGGAACATGCCCGTCCTAACAGTCTAGTGCCCGTCCTAATAGTCTAGTGCAGGGACCGACAACCTTGTGTAAGGGGCCAGACGGTAAACATCTGGGCTTTGCAGGCCACACAGTGTGCGTCACAGCTTCTCCACTCCGCCCTGGCAGCCTGGCAGCAGCCGTAGACAGGAGGTAAACAAATGAGCCCCGCTCTGTGCCAGTGAGATGTTATACGCAGACACAGGCAGCAGGTCACTCAGGGACCACAGGCCAGATTCCCCACCGCTGACCTAGTCTTTCCAAAGCAGTGACACCATCTAGCTTCCTGAAACCAGACAAGACTACTGCTTAGTCCTGATTTTATAAGATACAGTTCTACTTTGGTTTTTAAATGTTAGCAGTTTGTTCCCATTTTACAGATGGGGAGACTGAGGATCAGAGAGTCTAATTCACTAGTTCAAGAGTGTAGGGTGAGAGGGTCAGAGTCACAGCACAGGACCAGGGCTCCTCCATCCCCTTCTCTGAGGCTTAAATGAGAGCATTTCTCCCCATCACACTTCTCTCTGCTTCATCCTCTCCCCCCTTACAGCCGTCCCAGGCGTCTTCAGAGACACCTCAGAAAGCAGAAGGCAAGCACACTTTCAAACATAAGTGAAGGAGTAGGGCTGTACCAGCTCCTTTTACGACCTGTGATTTCCAGGGCAAGATACACTCAGTGTTTAGCATGGATTTCCACCTTCAGCCTTAGAAATAGTTCCTCTGATTAACGATCATATGTGGTGCTTTTGGCAAAGGAAGGCGGAACATTTGGGTTTCAGAAAGACGGATTTAAGGTTTCGTCCCTGAACCTCTTGTGGTTAACAGCACAAGTGGCAAAGTGACAGGCACTGTGGGCCTGCAGTGGGCAGGATGCCGAGCAGAGTCCCCTGTCAGCCCCGGACAAGTGCAGGCCTGTCGTCGCAGTGATGTGAAACCTCATGGGAAGGGAGCCCTTCCGCCCACCCTGGGAGGGACCTTAACTTCACTTGTGATGACGCAGACCCCTCCAGGTTTCCAGACGATGCCATTTGTTAAGTATGGAGACCCACCCCCAAGTCAGATGAAAAATGGAGTGGCGTTCAAATGGCGGGAAAGAGAGAGACCTTTAGATGATCATGCTTGAGTGATGTAAGTAAGACAGAAAGACAGATACCA